TCGGTTCATCGCATCGGAAACAAAAAGCGAAAGAATTTGGAACGATGTTTTTACAATTATTTTATTCAGTTGTATACAGTCAGTGTCAGTCGGTAACGCGTGAGTAAATAGTGGTGTCTGTTGCGTGGCTCAAACGAAATCAAAAATGGCACAGTTTATGCGGATCGGTTTCCCAATCGAGTGCAACCAACCCCTCGTGCCTTTGTTAATGTAGTACAACGGGCTCGTGAATCAGGTGACTTAAGACCTCACAGGGGACGGCATGCCGGTGCTCCAAGACCTCACGATCAAATACAGGTCCGCACTGAAATACTTGTCTGGGGATACTTTATAAAACAAGGTAAAATTTTTTTTTTATTTTTTTTTATTTTTACACACATATTTTGGTTTATCTTCCTTCTACAATCATTATCTGAAAATTAATGACTCAACTTCAAAGTCACCCTGTAGTGCAGGTTTATATGAAATTTTCTTCTTAAGAAGTTATAATTAACACAACATAATAATAATTCAACAAAGTGTTATTATCTGCACCAACAGATAAAAGAAAAAAAAAACATGTTTTCTATATAAGACAACCTTTTCGTCCAGCTGGGTGACATCACATAGCAGGACTCATTTCTGTACCTCAGAGTCAGACTAGGTTAAGTCCTAACAAGTAGTTTTGAGATAATTGAATTTGAAATATTTTTCTTGTATTGTATTGTATGAGACTTGAAATGAGTTAAAAAACTTCCATATTATTACAGATAGATAGACGCCTGCAAGTAGCACATGAAAATTCACAACATTATCACAAGCTTAATATATGGAATTCATTTTTGACAAAAATGGACTCCTAGTCTGGCTCTGGGGTACAGATTTGCTCTTGCTAAACTTTTGACACAGAAGAAAATTATGAGCAAGAAACACATCATAACATTTCATTCAGAAAGCAGAATTAATTTCCTTAGAAAGGGTGGTTCGTCGATCCAGTAGATTTATTAGCTTTTCCTCTGTGTCGTGGAGGCCAATAAAAGCGAATTTTATTTAGCGAAAAAACATTCACTCGAGATATATGTACATACAGGTATCGTTTCTGTTGATCCCGCTTTAGCTTTATTGCCTTTTGTAGTTGGTTAGTTTATTAGATGATTCAGCTAAATAAGGGTCATAAAGATATAATTGCAGTAAAATCTTTTATAACATAGAAACATCAACGATAACTGGAGTAAGCGAACCATTATCTATCTACTCTAATTTATACTTCCGGGACGTTTGCAGAAATTTTAATGTCGTTACATACGGCCGTTAAACTACCACTCTGTACAAAATCGCACGATGACGCGCGCGTCGAAATGTTGATGTTATTTGCATGGATTTTAGCAAATCCTTCGATAAGTTGACCCATCGTATTTTAATGTGTTGTTGTAATGGTTATTGTTCAACAAATGGTTTGAGGCAGTGTGTTTGCTAAAGAGAAACGCAGACTGTCAACTTTTTTTAGAATTTTACAAAGCTTGTTCCATTTATTTCCCACCCTAATCGACAAGGAAGAATTATAATGTAGAGAACTTCCAAAATGACATTTTGATATAATGCTGCTACCATGTTATGCGCGAAAGATATCTTTTCCATGCTTTTGCCATTGTCACAAAGATTTTTTTTTTAGATTGCGATGGAGAAGTTTAGAAAATTGTATCAGAACCTGTAACGAAGACGTGAGTATAGAGGGTCGATCTTCCAGACAATATCATTTTATTTAAGTTACAACATTCGAATTCAAATTCGAATATTTATTTATCATTATACAGTGTGTTCCTTAATGATATGCGAATATTTAAGGGTGTGAATCTACATGAAAATCTAATGTTAGTTAGTTTGATTTATAAACTGTGATCCAAAAATGTTTCCTCACAAAAACTCGGGTTTTAGGAAAAAATGGATATTAATATTTCAGAACCGCTTCAGATATTTTACTGATATTTAGTACATAGTGAAAGTTTATAAAGTTGCATATATTTCAATGCAAAAATAGTTTTTAGCTTTAACAGTGGCGTGCGTACGGATATTGACTTCGATATTTTTAAGAAACAAAGTGTACGCCAATCGTTTTTTGCCAAATTAAACTTATTTTTGAATTCCCCGTTCAATTTAGAATAAATGATCTTTTCTGAGTTGCTTTCCTTCGATGCGCCATTTTTGAGTAAAAAAATAAAAAACCGTGGTATTGTCTAACTTGCAATATTATTATTAATTTAATTTTAAAAATTAAATACATTAGGGGTAATGAACAACAACAACTGACAACATAAACATAATATTAAAACCAACGAAATGGTTGAAAATGGCCCCCTCCACTTAGTATGCATGCTTCCGCCCTCCTTCTCATGCACACTCGTTGAAATGTCCCTGGAGTGTTTTTTATTCTATCACAAGCTGCAACTATTCTTTCTTTTAAGTCCTCTACAGTTTTAATATGACTTGTGTACACTAGTATCTTAAGATAGCCCCACAGAAAGAAATCTGAACTGTTATGGTCTGGGGACCTTGGTGGTCATTCTTGGGGCTCACCGCGGCCAATCCAACGATTTGGATAAACAGTTTGTAAATAATTACGAACCGCTACACTGAAATGCACCATCATGCATGTACCACATATTTTTTCTCATTACTAACGGAACATCATCAAGCAGCAAAGGCAACTGTTGTTGAAGAATATTGAGGTAAGTCTGTCCGTCATGTCGTCCCGGCAAGAAGAATGGGTCAATAAAGTGGTTGCCAATAATTCCTGCCCATACCTACGTTAACCGAAAATTAGTGTTGGAAATGGGTTTCGGTTACGGCATAGGGATTTTCTTCTGTCCACAAATGATTATTGTGGAAATTCTGAATTGCATTTCGAGAAAAATTAGCTTCGTCCGTGAACAGAATCATTGATTCAAATTGCGAATTCTGTGTAATTTTTTGAAGATACCACTGACAAAAGGTCACACGCCTTGGAAAATCAATGGGAAGTAATGCCTGTACTCTTAAAATATGATAAGGATATAACAAAAAATCCACTAAAATTCTCCAAATAATTTGATGACAAATATTTAAGTGTCTAGTGATCTTTACATTACAGGAAGCGAGATTTAGCACCTGCTATTCCACCATCTAATTCCGTACAAAAGTGAAAAACAAGTTATACAAAACAAAAAATGTGAAACTACAAAGATTAAGTCACAGAATAATAGAACGATTAATGCCAATTTAGCTATAAAAAGACGAAGAGATAAAAGGTTATGAAGAAAATATGAAAGAACTTCTTAAGCTAGAGGTTGTTTTGAATTTCTTGTAAATATTCTTTTAACTGTGCTTTAAAACTCCGGGAAGATTGGATAGTCTTCAGATCCTGGCCTAAGCTATTGTGATGTATAGTTAAGGTCTCACGGTTACGAATCTGAAGATTATGCACAGACGCCCTTGGAACAAGTTTACAGCTGAGGTATTGAGGGGATGATGTTAGTATGATTCTGGGAGTAAAGCTGGGAATGGAGTATTTGAAAAGGTTTTGAACGCATAACCATGCAAGATTACGATACAAGTGTGATACATGATCGAAATTTCTTAGGCCTTTGATAAACCGTACACATATATTTTGCATTATGCTTTTACGCGAGACGGGATATTAAATTTCCATAATACACACTGGTGGGCTCAGGAAAATCCGCATAGGATTCATGAAGGTCATTTAAAACAACGGTTTAAAATAAATATTTGTGCGGGTATTCTTGACGATCAGGTGACTGACCCTTTCGAAATACCCCAAAGTTGTCAGGAGAAGGATACCTTAGCTATCTAGCCAATGACCTACCAGAACTTTTGGAACAGACCTTAGTCAAGGTGCCATTACAACGGAGACAGAATTTGTGGTTTCTTCATGACGGGGCACCACCACACAATTTTAGATTCGTCATTCAGTATTTGAATGAACATTATCCAAATCGCTGGATCGGTCGAAATGCTCCTGATCCTCGAAAATGGCCAGTAACATCTCCTGACCTCAATCCGATGGATTTCTGGTACTGGGGAGAACTTAAAGGGATGGCTTATGGGGCTGGTCCAATAACAAATGAAGCACAACGTCGCAAAAAAAATTAATGCGGCTGAAATAATAAATGGAAAACTTCGAGGACCTAAAGTAAGAAGAAACTGAGTTCGTCGTAATGAAGCTTGTGTGGAAAGCGGAGGACGACATTTTGAACACCTTCTTTAAATACAAAAAAAGTGCAGTGTGGGTTTAGAAAAGAAAAACAATGTATCAAAATTGTGTTCCCTATTTATAAATGGATTTGTTTAATACGTTCAATAAACTTTCACACATCAGGTGAAGCGCTGAGACAGTTAGTGGTAAGTCCGTTTTTTTAATTGTTTGCATTTTACGAGTACACTATCAAATAATGAAATAATACCTAAGAGCCAAAAATAACAAACGTCTTTATTTACACTGCGTTCCGTGGTAATTTGCGTCTGGCATTGCGGCGCTGTCAGATTTTATTTTACTTTGAAATCGCTTTTCTCTAAAAAAAATGCCGTTTTGACCCCCATGTTATATGAAATTTTTTGCTTCTTTTAACTCCCTCTATCACCCATTTAAATAACGACTATCATAACGTCTACACCCTGTATATTTATTTCCGTCGACCTGTCTGTCGGTTGTACCGATTTGGATGCAATTTAGGAAGAAGCGTGCAAATAGTTTCTAACGTTTATGTAAGCAAGCCTTCTAGAAATTTTCTTGTGTAATACATTTTTTTAGAGATTTAGAAAAAAATTGTTTTTCTCGTCTCTGATTATTTCTGGCTGAATTGAATAGAATCCTGAAGATACCATCCAATAAATAAAACTAAAAACAAATAGATCCGCGATTATAAAAATATAGCTTAGCGGTTCCAAACAAAAGATAAAGGTAATCGGAGAATCGTAAAACCATATACGCAAGATATACTTACAAACCTTGTTTGACTTGGTTGCGCCAAATCCTTAGACCGAATCTCAGCGTTCAATGAGCAAGTGATTCAGTTGCATGACGAGATCGTATTCATGTAAACATGACTGTAAGTGAAGATTCGATTAATTGATGATGGCACTAAATTCAATTTGATGGTTGTTTTAGGATGGATATTATATTAACACCGCCTATCAAAATGATGAGATTGAACTGGAGAAACAGGGACCAAAAACTGATGAAGCTACACCGGTAAGAATTATACATGCCTTATTTTGAGCCACTAAATAGTAGTTAGTCACTATGACGGCGCTTTCTATGAAAAGTCTCGATGTGGAGTACTGCTCTCATGCTTTGGAAGCTGCGATTGCTGATTGGTAGTTACCATGACCGGCTTTGCCAAATCAGCTCGCCAGGCTTGATATTCTCGTTCAAACCCTTGGAACTGGCCATTACGACTTATACTATATTTTATTTATTATTTTAAGGTTTGTTTTAGCGGCTGTACATTGGACTTTAACTGCTACCTCACGTTCAGAACCAAAATAATACCTTACAGTAGGATCAAACATTTATTCAAACAGTGAGCATAGATTCTCTGGTTGAACATCAGTGGCATATGTAGGCCTTGCGTTCGGGTGGGACCTATTACGTCTCCAGGAGGGGGGGGATGTGTAGATAAAAAATCATGGGGGTGGTATGTCCGACTTTCATGATTATAGGGTTTCCGAAATCGTAAATGGTCAACGGAATGTAAAAAAAATATTCAATTTAAACCTTCAATTGCCAATAAGACGTCGTTTCAAAGAATACACATAACAAATTTGGTGTCATTTTTCTGAATTTTAGAGTGGTGAAACAATAGAATATTGGGAGCTTGAATATAGCATACGTGTAATTGCTTTTCTGACACAAAATTAACATTTATATATCACGAAATGACTTCCAAAAGCTTTAAAACAGACTTAAAGTGCTGTCACCCACGAGTTCTGAAAAATCATAGACACTCTTAATTGATAACACATATCAGCATCTAATCGTAAATCCAGAAAAAAAGATGGAAAGGGCACAATGTTTCTGGGTCGGTAGCTGGAATTATTGTTTTGATCCTAGATTCCTAGAATATTAAGCCACGTACAGATATGTACAAACACCGCGCATTTTGACGAACAACAATTTTGATGTTTGTCGTTCACTGACAGACGATTACTAGTGGAGATGGATAGAATATATTTATATTCAATACGCAGTTATATACAGGGTGACTTCGAAATTGAGTCATTTATTTTAACAGTGAGTAGATCTGATCAAAAGAAATGTTTTTTTCCTTTACCATTTTTCTGGTAAAATTAAAGTAACAAAAGTTATAGCCCTTTGGAAGTTTGAGTACCGCCCTGTCTCAATAATAATATTATGTGCTCGTGTTTGGTTCATCGCATCGGAAACAAAAAAGCGAAAGAATTTGGAACGATGTTTTTACAATTATTTTAGTCAGTTGTATACAGTCAGTGTCAGTCGGTAACGCGTTTGAATAGTGGTGTCTGTTGCGTGGCTCAAACGAAATAAAAAATGGCACATGTTTATGCGGATCGGTTTCCCAATCGAGTGCAACCAACCCCTCGTGCCTTTGTTAATGTAGTACAACGGGCTCGTGAATCAGGTGACTTAAGACCACACAGAGGACTGCATGCCGGTGCTCCAAGACCTCACGATCAAATACAGGTCCGCACTGAAATACTTGTCGGGAGGATACTTTATAAAACAAGGTAAAAATTTTTTTTTATTTTTTTTTTTTTACATACATATTTTGGTTTATCCTCCTTCTACAATCATTATCTGAAAATTAATGACTCAACTTCAAAGTCACCCTGTATATACCAATAGATCAGCACACGGTTGCAACAATTTGATAGCGGAATTTGAATTTCTTCTCACGTTGATTGGACCAAAAATACGACAAGATACAAAATGGAGACCTACCATCACAGTACAAGAAAGACTTGCAGTCACGGTGCGAGTTTTAGTGACCGGTGATTTACAGAGTAGTTTGCAATACATATTTCGAATTTCAAAGCAATTGATCAGCCTACGTCATTCCAGAAGTTTGTGGGGCATTGATGGAAGTTTTAAATGAAAATATACTCGTACAAGTAAGAAAAATAATTATTTTACATTACAATATAACACACTGGTGCTCGTCGCACCAGTATGTGTGTCCAAACATGTGCAACTTTGTCGCGAGCCATTCCGTTGATGTTGCGCTGACGTACAAAACGTCCATCTACGAAGGAATCACTCAACTAAACTATACACGCATTACTGGTTGCATAGTTTTGTGAGGCTGAATGATCCGTGTCTGTAGTTTTTATCTCCGAGAAGAAAGTTGGTTGAATAACAAGATCGCATCTGGATGATTATGTGTATTGATCTGCATGTGTATAGAATCGGTGATATTTGCTGTGTGAGAAAATCATTACTGAATATGCTGAATATGACGGGTTATTTATATGTTGTGCTTTCTGAAGAGAGGCTATGTTCAAAGTTATAAATTACGAAAAACTGAGGAGAATTACGGGAAATTATCGCCATGGCCGTGTGTAATCACTGTTAGCATGTATATGGCTTGTAATTTGACAGTGTACAGTGAATATATTATTTCTTATCTCCCTCATTTTTGAAATTCAACAAATTTCTATATGTAATTTCCAGAATGAATAAGAAAAAGTGGATGCGCAACTAATTTCTAGCTTTGAATCTCAATTAAGTGTTTGAGACAAGAACCCAATGTAGTTATTATCAACACATAGAAGTTACAGCTTAGACCTCCAGTAATGTCATCTCAGAAGCAGATTTAACATCACATCAGAGCCAAAGATTGATAACAAGACTCATGACGTTTAGGCAACACGTACAACTAAGTGCTAAGTTAACATCTTGTAGAGTAACCCACATAATGTCAAAAAAAGTCGCCATCAATACGTGATACCCGGTGCGGATCTGGCCGAACGGCGAGCTGCAACGCTAATGAGGTTCGCGACGGCGTTCTTTTCACCGTCTACACTAGCGCGGCGCCGTTCGTCGCGTGGTTCGGTTCGCGGTGTTGCATATCCTGTACATGTCTTAGAATGTGGAGTTCTAACCGATTCCGGTACATTCTAGCTTGAAAGCTCCCCAAGTTTCAAACCTGTCCTAGTCCAAAACTGACAAATACGCTAAAAGCGTGATCACTATTTTGTACCCTCCGCCCTCCTTCCTTGAGTACGCCCTTGTGTTAAAAGACAGGACAGGAGTAAAGCAGAATAGTAGCAGAAGATTTTCAGTTCAGATTTAAAATCATTTGTTGGTCGAGTAAGACCTACATTGTTGACATTGGATGAGTCGGTATATACCAACGAGTTTAGACTAGGCAGAAGAAGTCCGTCAAGGATTTGTTTGTCTCTTTATTCTCATAGTCTGCAGAGAGGATCAAAGTCTACCTGACCATAAGTTATTTTTTTGACGGTTCTGACATTACATTCATAGCTTTAGTGTTATTTCTTAAATGTACGAGTCTTTGCAGATGCTTGTGGTGTTAGATGATTTCAAAACGTGCTACTTCTAATAAAATTTGCATACAGCAGCATAATGAAGGTAGATCTTTCCTCTAGTAAATATTATTATTATTATTATTTGATGCAAAGCTGCTACTTTGGTAACAAACAATGCAATGTACATATTCGAATTAGTTGGTATATAATAGTAACATAAAGAATTTAATGCATACTGAGACAGTTTACTGTTCATTAAGATCCATCAGAAGCGTTATGGTGTGTAAAACTGCAATGCGATAGTTCGCAAACGTATACTGAAAAACCCTATGGAGCTTACGTTTTTAATCCCTGGTGGTGATAAGCTAAAAAAGAGCATCCTTGCTTTTATGGTGGATTTTGAATGAAATGTATGATAAGACACAGGACCAGTTGCTATTTTTGCTTTTAGTTATTCTGGAAGTGTAGATCAAAAACTACCTTGAGGGGTAGATGTTTAAAATAACTCCTGCGTTGTATGTACGACATCAAAATAGGATTTTTAATAAATGATTTGGTAAGACTATACTCATATATCGCAAATACTTGTTTCTTACTTTAAAGTGAAGGATTAGGATGTCACTTTTACGAAAATATCATTTTTTCATTAGGGAACCCTCTGCTTGCTATTTTATAGAACTTGGAAGTTGCATTTTTGGTGGTAATACTCTAGAATAGAATATTGTTTCATATGCTGTCTTTTGTTGCTTTTTGTACAAAATGATGCTCTAAATTATAAGAATATAACATACACTGTATAGTACTAAGGAAAATAGATGTGAAACTGTAAAAAACCGTTTTTTTTGCAAAAAAGGTTTACACATTAGCTTATTAATTTAAATAACAGGTCAAAATACATACGTAAATGGTATTTACTTGGTAAACTGTGTAGAGGTGTTGTTTTGTAATTTTTCAATGTCTTCTTGAAATTCCTTAACCATTTTTTTCGCGTATTTTAAATGAGATCAAGTTTCTGCGTTTATGAGAAATATTTCAAAGTACGAAGGATTCTCAATACTATTTTATAACGCTCATTTTTTGACAGTTAAAATAAATGATGTCCATTGTTGCGAAGTTGTACATTTTTGGAAGAAATACGCATTAGAAATGAGGTTATTGCAAAATAAAAGTCTTAATTTATTGTAAATGGCTTGTTTTATGAAAAGCTGTCCCAATATTTACCGAAAACTAGATGAAATTTTGAACAGTATGTGTCTAAACAGTGGAAAATGCGCCAGCGACTCGCGTGACAAAAAATACAAAAGGCACCAGCGGTCATTGCATATAAAAATACAAAACGTCGACTCGTCGCTTCGGACCACCTCGCCAGGTCCACCCAACATATCATCGTCCAACATTATAGTTAAATAAAGATCAACGATCATTTCATCAAATCATCAAAAAACTTGCAATGTTTTTTGTTATGTTTTCATTATTTAGTGATTTACAATAGCTACTTTTTCAGTTATTTCTCATATATATCACATTTAATTAGGTTAATTTTGTAACATCAGCTTCACTTTAAATAATTCTTCAAGTACATACATATAAAAAGTAAATAGATTATAACTATAATATAGGAAAAACAATAACCGAAGTATTTTTGTGAAGAGCATAAGGCATTCTTCAAAAAAGTCTCTTTTGCTAACACATTTTTGCGCTAGTATAGTAAGAATTTGACAAACCAAATTAAGGTATATTACTATCGATGATTTGGCAATATCGCAACTAGATGGAGAGAATATGACAGTGATGGTGGTGTAGTGATGGGAATAATTATCTGAAATAAAACAACAATAACAACGAACTATTTTCATCATTAAAATATTGCAAAATTGCACTATTGCGATGAAAAGTGTCACAGTAACTTACAATTTATGTTATAATCATATAACTTTGAACAATCTTTTGTATAAACAAGAAGAAAACAGCTTATAAAGCAGTATTCTATACCACAGTATTACCACCCAAAATGCAACTTTGAAGATCTATAAAATAGCAAGCAAAGAGTTCCTTAAAGAAAAAATGATATTTTAGTGCAAGTTACATCCGAATCTCTCATTTTAAAATAAGAAATCAAATATTTGCGATATGCGCTAAAGTATAGTTCAGCCAATCATTTAAAATAATATTCAATTTTCTATATTTCTTGAGTTGCATATTTTGGAATGATTTTTCAAGTATGAAGATAATACGAGTAACTATATTAAGACAATCCACATGCCTCTCAGAGATTTCTTCTAACTTTTTTCTATATTCTATGCTTATTTTCCAGAAAGCCGTCTTGACTGATTCTCTTCCCGACGAACCTAACAATAATAGTAATCAAAAAAGAGCAACATGGGGCAAGAGTATAGAATTTCTGATGTCGTGCATAGCAATGAATGTCGGTTTAGGAAATATTTGGAGGTTTCCTTTTGTGGCGTATGAAAATGGTGGAGGAGCCTTTCTAATCCCGTACCTTATAGTATTGGTATTAATTGGTAGACCCATGTACTACCTGGAAATGTGTCTGGGGCAATTCAACAGTAGAGGCAATGTCAAGATATTCGAGAATTTAGCTCCCGTCTTGAAAGGTGAGTGGGCCGGGCAATCTTATTAAGATCGTTCTCAAAACACGGAGAAAATTCAATGGATAATTCTGTGTACTATTAAATTAATTCACATGGTGTGGTAAATTATTAGAGACTAAACCTGAGGCTTCATAACGTTCAAAAAGTCCTCTACATATATTAACATTTATCATTCATTATTTTTTTTCGGAAATTGTTAATTGTTAGTACGAGGACGGTTCAATAACTACCCGTGTTAGAAATGAAGACACCACTTTTTCCAAAAAATTTATTTTTATTTTTCTTTTATAAAGATACACTTTTCCCAACGTTCCTGCAATTTTTTTAACTCCCCCAAAAAATAGGATTTGTCGATCTCTCCAAAATAAGCCTGTCTTGGCAATGACTTCCTCGTCTGAGATAATTGTTTTCCCTGCGAGCCGTTTCTTCATGTCAGGGAACAAGGAAAAGTCGCAGGGTGCCAGATCGGGTGAATACGGAAGGTGCGGCAGCACTTCATAACGCAATTAATGCAGTTTGGCGGCGACAACTCCGGATGAATGTGCTGGTGCGTTATCGTGGTGAAACAGCACCTTTTTTTTCGTCAAATGTGGCCGTGTCTCCTTCAATTTTTGTCGAAGCGGTCCAATAACTCACTATAGTATTGTCCAGTGATCATTATTCCTTTTTATAAAAAATACAAGCGGTTCGCATCCCAAAAAATCGTCGCCATGACCTTTCCGGCCGATGGGACCGTCTTCGCCTCTTTGAGCAGATTCACCTGAAGAAATCATTGTTTTGATTGTTGCTTAGTTTCTGATGTGTTAAGATGAATCCAGGTTTCATCGACGGTGACAACTCGACGAAAAAACTCCTTCGGATTTCGCTTAAATTGCTCCAAACAGTGCTTCGAAGTTAACAGCCGCATCCGCTTGTGTCCCACCGTGAGCAATCGCAGCATCGATCGGGCCGGCAATTTTTTCATAGCCAACTTATCATGTAAAATATTGATTGCCGTTCCGGTCGGCACACCTACGGCCTCTACTACTTCGCACACTTTCGTTTGTCGATCAGCGAGAATC